AAATCATTTTAAATTTTACTGAAAATATGAGTATACCCCTTGGAATTCAATTTTCTTTAACTAAAACCCATAATTGTAAAATTTTCTAATAAAAACCCAATGACTAGGCTCTAACTAAGCAATATCCATAATTAAGTATGACTTGGCAAAATTGGTATTTTTGGATGTCTAAATTACCCCTAATATCATTGACTTTGGGTCTATTACTTCTTATGTACATTTATTTTATATTATTTCATTCAATTAAACATTTTGAAATGTTTATGCAGATTTGGAAAAGAAAAATTGTAGTGTCATGATTTCAATGCATATTAATAACAAAAATGATATGATATTAGAGTTTTGATTCCTTATATAGTTGTTTTCACATTTATGTAAAAATGAGCATTATTTTTCCTTTTCAAATAATTGTAACAGGTAAATTAGTATTTTTCATAAATGTACAACTGTTATTTTATTCAAAATTACCAAAATTGTACATATATAAAATAACACTATAAGCTCCAAGTAAAATAACAATATAAGTTTCAGGTAAAATAATACATGCAAAATAATTTACCTACAAAATAAATAAATAAATATTGTTTGATTCAAAAGTTAATTAAGTTATTTGCATACACACACACACACACACACACACACATATATATATATATATATATATATATATATATCAAAACGTGCCTAACATATGTAATAATACATGCAAAATAATTTACCTATAGAATAAATGAATGTTGATTGATTGCAAGCAACACATAATAATAACAAATGTGCCTAGTATATGTAATAATACATGCAAAATAATTTACCTACAAAATAAAAGGATGTTTTTAGCCAATTGATTCAAAGTTAATTTATTACCTATATTCTACTTTAAAATATAGGTAATTGATTTCACACAGATATAATAATAACAAAATGTGCCTAATGTATACATGCAAAATAATTTACCTACAATGATTGTCAAACAAATATAAGAAATGGAATAGATGATGGTAAGACAAGTATAAAGTAGATACTTTTGTAATAATAAAGCACTTATTTGCTATAATTAAGGTGAATAATTAAATTCATCAACATAATTAGGGTGTTGTGGCACAATTGTAAATATTTTGAAAATAATAGGTATTTATTTGTTTACATGGAAGTTTATTTCAAATTTGGGTTTTATTTGGATGTTTAAAATGAGATGGGTTTTGGTCAAGGAAATAAGTGTTGCATGAGCTTATATCTAAAGAACCCTAAATTTTATTATTTAAAATTGTACACAAACAATATATGACGAAAACTGCCGTACGATATACGATAAATGAACACAATTCACGAATCTTCGGGATCCTCACAAAGAGGATCCGGATTTCTTGGATTTTAGCCCTTTAAACTAAAAATCAATGAGTAGTGATTTCTAAAATGCAGAGTAGTAGTCTTTTTGACTAATATTGATCGAAATTCCATCTAAAATAAAGCATTAAAAGGAGCAAAAAGAAAGCCGAAAGTTCTAATGAAATTATTCCAAAGAACCATTGCTCCAAAAAATATTATAATATATTCAAAAACCAATCATTTTAATTCAGATATCAAATACTCCAATTAGACTCAAATTTAGCGACGTCTAATTATTGTAACGAAAAGTATTACCTTGATCCTCAATCCAATCACCGTAAGTGGTAGCTCTTTTTCATTTGAGAATGACTTGTACGTGCTTGACTATCCCTGTTCATTTGGTTCCTACATTAATTGCTATTTTCTCATTCAAACTAAGGGATCTTGATGTGAAAGATGACCTGACAAATAGGAAAATTAATCGCATAAACATGGATATGATCTTAAAGAATTCCAACGTTCATTCTTTGATCTTGAGAATGCACACTTGACGATCCTCAGAAAGCCGGTACATATATGATAGAATTATAAGTAACTGATGAATGCTGAATATTAGAGCAGTATTACATTTGCTATCTATTTGTATTACGTCTTTAATAGAAGTACGATTTATCATCGCATGTGAATTTCATCTCTATTAGAATTATATGATAGTATTACATTTGCTATCTATTTGTGTTATGTATTTAATAGAAGTACGACATATCAACACATGTGAATTTCATCTCTGTTAGAAAAATAGTATAAATAATAGTATAAATAGATAGTAAAAATAACATGTTGGTCCCATTCCTAATTAAGTTTGCAGGCATGCCTGCAACGTACGTACATAACTTTAGGAGTTTGGTGTTAATGTTATCAATTTGATATTACAAGTCAGAATTAATTTATCATTGGCTTTGGCTCTATATAAGTTGATGGATTAGGTTTCGAATTTAACAACTAACCAACACACGTTAAATAGTAGGGAGATTGTCTCTCATGCATAAATTCCAAGTCGATTATATAACTCCATGAATAACGGACAAACCCATACCCAAACTACACATAGATATTGATTAAATCTTGAAATAATCCAAATCACTTCGTAATCCCCTCAACCAACTCATTAACTGGAGTATATAAATCTCCTATTGAAATTGTACTACAAATTGTTCGATTAATTTCCCAACTAAAAATTGGCTCTATTTAGAGGAAAAGGATCCTTTCCGAATCCACTTTGCATATCCTAATCGTACATCATGTGATCAATTTTCGTCAAATATTATTTGTGTTAAATTTTAAAGAAAAAAAGTCAAATAATTTTTAACCGCACGATACACTGATGAATGGTTATTATGTAGAGATCCCTATGATCCCCACAAAGTAAATCCGGATGGGATCCAATTCCCTATTTAGACCTTCATGTAGTAATTAGCAAATTAATTATATACTTATAGACTAAACATATCATACATTAATTGAGATTTCTTAAAAAGCACTTTTGGAGAATTTTAATTTTAAGGTTAAACTCTGCTTAGTACTCTGAAGTTTTGTGATTGTCAACATTTAGTACATCAAGTTTTTTTTCATCTTAGAGTCATCTCTAAAGTGTAAATTTTGGAACAATCTTATACATCCTTTAGTCAAACTGTTAAATCTTCCGTTAACTGTGACGTGACGCTCACCCTCCTATCACCCACCTCTTCGTCTTCCCCAGATCCCACCCGTGCCACCCTCTCCCTCCCTTCTCTCTTCTGCAACCCACACCCCTTCCCTCCCTTCTCTCTTCTACAACTTGCACCACCATCCCTTCTCTTATCCTTCCTCCCTTATCCCTCCATTCTCTCATCAGCACCAACCCACCAAACCCTCATCTGCATAAACAAAAAATTACACCGTTTTTGCATTTAAACAAAAGCAATTTGAATTTGCGAATTGTCTTATCTATCAAGCAAACAACAAAATCCAAAGAAAAGGGCAAATAGGAGGGCCACCTATCACCGACACTGCAAAAAGGCAGTGGCAAAGTCGTAATTTAGATAAAAATACAAGCTACCGGATGTGGACGGTCTCGGAGGCGGTTTAGGAACCCTCAGGATGCGAGATCTGATGGTAGCCAGAGCCGACTCGGCTAACTCCTCCGAGTTACACCTCGACAGCGTCGGCCTCTCCGATTCCGGCTCTTCCCTCTTCGACTCGGAGCCGTCGAGCTTTTGATTCTCCGGATTTGTCGGAATGTCGACGCATTTCACTCCCCTCTTTAGATTTCTGATCAGATTCGACCGTCCGGTGACCTCCATCGGTCCCTGAAATCTCTGCGATGACGAAGGCTCGTCGTTTTCAAAACTAATCACACGATCCGACGCCGTTTTCTTCAGCTCCGAAATTTCAGCCTCCAATAGCTAGTTGGTGTGAACCGAAGTGAGGTGCCTGCGAGCAAGAAGACGACTCGGGAGGCGTTGACTGAGAAAGGTCCTTCTTTCCAGTCGGCGGTTGAGGGATTTGGAGACGGTGAGGAAAGCTGCCGTTGTCGGCGTCGCTACGGATAATGTGGACTCCATTGGAAAATCGCCGCTGAGAGGAGAGGAGATGAGGGTTTGGCGCGTTGGTGCGGAGGAGAGAATTGAGGGATCAGGGAGGAAGGAGGAGGGAAGGGAAGGTGGTGCAACCTGGAGAAGAGAGAAGGGAGGGAAGGGGTGCAAGTTGCAGAAGAGAAAAGGGATTTGGGGAAGACGAAGAGGTGGGTGATCGGAGGGTGGGCACGGGTGGGATCTGGGGAAGATGAAGGGTTTTTTTGTTTTTTTTTTTTTTTTTTTTTTTTTTCTCCTAAAATTTTTGTTTTTATTTATTTATTTTATAAATAATTTATTTTTAATTTCCATGTGAATGACATGTGGCGCTCAGTTATCATTCACATGGGCAACGAGAGACTTAACAGTTTAATTAACAGATGTATGAGACTATTTCAAAATTTACACTTTAGATATGACTCTAAGACGAAAAAAAACTTGATGTACTAGATGTTGAAAACCACAAAACATAAAAGTAGTAAATAGTCTTTTACCCTTAATTTTAATGTACACCGTTGTTAGATTGTAAATTTGAACTATTAATCAAGTTAATCATTTATGGTGCGGGATAGCCATTGAAGGTCTTGGTCTTGGACACCAGTGCAATGCTTAACTGTGAAAAACCATTTACATGATATTAGGGTTGGGTTGGACTAAAATCACACAATGTCCAACAATAATTTTGTTTAGAACTACATTCATTAGAATTAAATTTAAAAACTCCCGCTTAATTATAAACCAGAGAAATAGAATAACAAACGACGTTGATCCTAGCAAAACAAAATATGAATGAAAAATGAATAGAGGGCAAAGTGGTAATTCAAAAAAAAAGTGATATCAATCGATATATAAAAGGGTAAAGAAACAAAATCATGTTATTCCCTCATATTTTTTAACCCCATCACGTTTATCATGTCTCCATCCCATCTCTCTCTCTCTCTCTCACTGTCAACCTCTTTTCATGTCTACAGAAACCCAACAAGTTGAGGAGAGACTCCAGTCCCACTTATTACCCATTTAACCACTCAATCTCTCTCTCTCTCTCTCTCTCTCTCTCTCTCTCTCTCACTCTGAGTTTGTAGGCCTGGAAGGAACTGAACTGCTCCCCCTTTCTCCAGAAAAAAATTTCTAGCAATCTCTCATAATGTTCCCATAAAACAAAGTAATGAACAAAAGCCACCCCACATCATAATCTCTTTCAAAGGGTTTCTAGTATTGATCAAACAACTATTCAAAAAAAAACCTCGGAAGAGTGGTATATATAGCAGAAAGAAAAAAGCAACAGGTTATATATAATGCATAGCTATAGCTAGCTAGCTAACCCTGCTCCTCTTTTCTCAACCGATCTATCTATATAAAATCCTCATCCTCATTCCTCAACCATATGATTGAAATCCCAGCTCAATTGAGCATCTAGCTAGCTAAGTGATCTACATGTTCTTTGATTTCTTCTAGTTACCCATCCATGGATTCACTTCAAGAATTTGACCCTTCCAACCCATCAAATACTTCAAGCATTAACATCAACATCAACACCACCATCGCTACCAACTCATCCTCATCCTCATCGTCACCATGCTCCACCCTCAGCCGCTATGAGAACCAAAAGCGGCGAGACTGGAACACCTTTGGGCAGTACCTCCGCAACCACAGGCCGCCACTGTCCCTCTCGTGGTGCAGTGGGGCCCACGTGCTTGAGTTTCTCAGGTACCTGGACCAGTTTGGGAAGACCAAGGTGCACATCCAGCTGTGTCCCTTCTTCGGGAACCCTAACCCTCCTGCACCGTGCCCCTGCCCTCTGCGGCAAGCTTGGGGAAGCCTCGACGCCCTCATCGGCCGCCTCAGAGCTGCCTTTGAAGAGCACGGCGGGAAGCCTGAGGCAAACCCTTTTGGGGCTCGGGCTGTGAGGCTTTATCTGCGTGAGGTTCGAGATTCTCAGGCCAAAGCCAGAGGAATTAGCTACGAAAAGAAGAAGCGGAAGCGCCCACCAGAGAGTAGCACCAGTAGTACTAGTAGTACTACTAGTCCCGTTCTTCCAGTTCGAGCAATACTGCCCCCTGCTCCTCCCAGTGCAAGCTAATAAGTCAGTAAAAAGCTGTTTGGTTTTTAATTCTCTCTATCATACATCCAAATAATTGTCTGTGCCCTAGCTATATTAATGAGCATTATTAATTGTTTTGGCTAATAATAAACTTGATAAAGAACACATTAATTCAAATTAAGAGTAATAGCTGTGATTTGCTACACGCTTATCAAAAGTGGTATGCTCGCTTAACTTAATTCTTCATATAACCAATTACTATATTAATGAGTATTATTAGGGAAGCACATTATTCGCACTGCATAGAAAGATTAATTGTTATTGTGTTTCTTACCAGGCGGAACAACTTATCTACAAGTATCAACAACTGGGTGTATGCTCTTTCGCTCTGCCTCTCTTGTCATGTGATATCACAGATGAGTTTATGTTGTCATCTTTTGCATTTTTAAGTCTATATATCTACACTTATGGTTTTTTGTTCTTCAGAAACATGCTTAATTAGAGTTTCAGATATTGAAAACTTGAATTGATAAGCAAACAGGAGTTGCACTGTTGTAGTATAAGCAAATAAGCAGTTATGCTGGGAGTAATGAATATTATATATATGTACTAGTTCTAGTTGCACGTAGGTGGGGGTTTTCTGTGACTTAGCTAAAATATGTGATAGATATGTACTATAAAAGGTCAATTGGTGAGAAGTAATAGATTTGCAGATCATGTTCTATGTCTCCTTTTGAAAATTTTCATATTTTTAATGCGTGATGGCAAATCATTGAGGAGTATGGTGGGTATGACTTTTCAGGAGGTCGATCCTGTGTCGGATTTGTCTAGCACAATGTATATACAGTCTCTGCTTTACATATAGAGGTCAATATTTCTTCTTTAATTTGTTTCCTCCATTAGATTGGATTGTTAGCTTTTCGATCGTCACTGTGGAAGTTGAAGCGGTAGAGTGGAGAGAGAACAAACTCTTTCAATTACAAATGCAAATATGCAATCGGTGCATGATGAAGTGTCTGGAAGTATAGTTTATGAATGTATTATACTCATTCACAATATATATGCATGTGGGACGATGGGTCTTTGCCAATATGAGCTGTGCTTCATTTATTATGCAAATATCCACAACCCATTTGTCGAATGCGTCATATCACTCCTTGATGTTCGTTACCAAAAGAGGAGAAATACATTAAAGAAGTGAAGTATTATAATCCTTTCATAATCAATCTCAAGCTAGCTAGCTCATTTAAAATATTAAATATCCCATGCATTCAAGTCAATCGAAGGTGTTAATTAGGGCTTGTAACTTTAGATTGAGAAAATTTACCTTGAGGTTTGATTCTCTCCTCTCTCAATATCGTCTGTATAAATAAAAGTAAACTACAGAGAAAAAAGAAAGAAAATAAGTTGCATGAGAGAAGTACAATAAATAAACTAATACTAAGTATTATATTATCAAACCTTATGTCAATTTAAATTTAAACATCTAAGAATATAATAATGAATTGAATTGCATGAGAGTACAATAATACCAAAGTATTTCAAGCCCTATGTTAAGCATTATATATGAGATGGATTTTATTCAAGCATATCTAGGTGATAGTGGAGCTTGGTGATAATCATGTGATGGATGAGATGGACTTATTTAAGTTCACTAGCTTGAACATAGTAACAGAAGCATTTATAAACTTGCACTTGTGTATATATACTGGTTTGATTTAATCTAAGTTCTGCAATATTGAAGTGTTCTCTGCCGCGCCAGACTTTTAATCTGAGTTGTGCATTATGATATGTTTTTTTTTTATATCTGGGAAGTTATTTAGAGTATAGTAAATTGAAGGAAACATAATGGATACAAAATAATGGCAGAATTTTTATATAAGGATATCAAGTGGTACCAAATTTAGGGTTTAGCATATAATTGAAGGCAGACCATAAGGAAGAGACTTATGTGTGATATAGATATTTGCTATGTGGGAGATGATAATTAAGGTAGTGATCAAGAATGCCAAATTAAGGTTTTAGTCCACCACATTAGGGAGATGATAATTGGGTTGAACTCACTCTCTTATTGTCAATTAGTTTTAAGTTGGAAGCTGATATTCTAATAGTCTATTTTTATTTGCACAATTGATGAGCGTTATTGTGGCAGCAAGTTTTCATGATTATTTTCCTAGTTTTACTCTATTTTCGCAACAAGGTTCTATATTTAATTTAGGGTATATAATGTCGTATGAAGGTTAATTTTACTCCTTATGCAGATGTGTGTGAGTGCACATAAGAGAGTAGTTAGGAAGCTTATTTTCAAGAGCTTGTATGATCAACTCTCAGGTTCTTCAATCATATAATTTTGTTTGGAAAATTTCAACTTAGTTATGAGCTATGGTTCTTTCTTAAATATGCATGTAAACGCATGCAAATGGTGACTTTTAGGATTAAGACGTTGTTAAATGAGATCCATACATTAGGGTTTTGTTTATTTTTAGTTTCAACGGAAGTTTGAGTCTTAATTTTCCTCTTTTGTTTGAATAAAGATCAGAGATTGCAAGCATGTCAATCGTACTGTCTATCTATGCTTACTATATCTATATAAAAGTTAGTCTTGGTGAAACTAGATCCCCAAGAAAGCAACCTTGTTGCTAACTTATATTATTCAATAACTATCATCAGGGAACTAGGGATTAGATGAATTACAAGCTAAGCTAGCTACAAGACTTGATCTTCTTTTTTCTTTTACATTTTTATCTTCTTTTTTGGTAACACGGTTTGGCAAAAAACAGAATTTCTCAATGACAAATTCAAAAACTCTGTATCGCTTCTCCTCCTTACATTTCCATTAGTGGACCTTATATATATTAAAAGTGATCTCTAACCTTGTACGGTTGCAACTGTCAACTACAAGCATTGAATTATAGTTTGGCTGGAAATTTTATTTTCATTAGTCTCGTTTGGTATAGAGGATTTGATTGGAATGAAAAAATAACTATTTTCAAGGTATTTTGAAAGAAGAAATAAAAACATTGTGGTCAACTGTAGAGGTAGGAGATGGATTACTCAAAGAGAAAAATTATCCATTCTAATCCTTTAGGATCATAAGGGAGAAATTTCCTTCATATCTAATTCATTTTTAATTCCCTCAAATAAAATCATTCTCCTGCATCATCAGAATACCTTTAATTTGTAAGGCATTCATTCAAATTTAATTCTAAACACCAAATGAGCTATTTTGATATTATCTTGTGTTTGATAGTATTTGGTTAGTTTGTAGTTCGTAGTATAGGACTCAGGAATCATTAAACATGTGCAAATTTTGTGTGCATGAAATGTGTTAGCTAGCTAGGCTGTTAGATAGCTTAAGAGTGATCAATAATATACTTCTAGCTACCTGGATTTTACAAATTTACAATGGAAAAACCATGTAAAGGATATGGGTAATACTAGGGACACTAAATTTGTAGATAAAATTTGCAAATTAAATGATATGTCACCAATAGAAATGAGCATGTTTATCAACGCTTAAGTATTAATCTAATCATCAACTTCCATGTCATTTAGTTTACAAAATTTTGTCTACAAATTTACTCTCCTTAACATTACCCAAAGGATATAGTGACATATTGTTACATATGATGTCCCGGATAGTGACAGTCCATTCGTATCATGCTAGTGTTGGAGAATAGAATTCTACATGGTCATATGACAAGATAATATCCAATTAATATGCAGTTGTTTCCACCCATAATTAACTAAGGTCTTTTGTGATAGAACCCAACACACCTAGTAATACATAATTAAGTTGGGACAATATCAGTGATATTGGTAGTGGACATCGACAGAGCCACCTTAGGCTCAGGGGGCGCATGCCCCCACTTAGTATTTTTGCTGGAAAAAAAAAATGTATATAATGCATATAGCAATTCCACATGATAGAGCATTTTCAATTATGAACTTTTTGAAGAATCGATTGAGAAATCGGATGGGAGATCAATGAATGAACGATAATTTGGTTATTGGTATAGAGAGAGATATTTGATGGTATTGGTAATGAAGTTGTCATGCGATGCTTTCGAAACATGAAAAATGTGTTGACGAATATTGTAATATGTTATATGAAAAACCTTATGGATTAATATATACGTGTTTTGTTTAGTAAATTGTTGAGCTTTGTAATTTGTGACATTCCTTGAGAATGCCCCCACTCATATAGATCTCTGGCTTCGTCCCTAGTAGTGGACCTGCATGAGCCTATAAAGTTTAATATGGTAGCAAAGCAAGCTATTCTTTCGACACGTACGTCCTGGGCCTGATTTACTAGGCTCGAATTTGCCTTATTAAGTTGGGCTTTCGAAAGTTGTGTTAACTCTAATTTAGGAATATTGAATTACTGGACCCTCGCAAAGTTGTGTTGGCCCTAGTCCTTGAATGATGATCAAGTTCTTGAAAAGTTACGTTAGCTCTAATACAATGACTTGGTCTGTTCTCAATGTGGGAATTGGTTTCCTTTGTGACCATGTATATAGCCACTCGAGAAGGGGCATATTGGAGAATAGGATCCCACATCAGTCATATGAGAAAATAATATACAAGTAATATGAAGGAGTTTCCACCCTTAATATTACCGAGACCTTTTGTGATAAAACTCAACCAGTAGTAATATATATAGGAGTTTCCACCCTTAATATTACTAAGACCTTTTGTGATAACACTCAACAAGTAGTACTGGTTTGGTACTGAGGTAATTTTATAAAAAGTGGGTATAAAAAAAAGCTGAGCTCAAAAATGTGTTTGGTAAACACTTAAAAAGGTTTATTTTCACAATTTTGGATGAAAAAAAAGCTGAAAACGTGAAGCAGCAAAAATGAGCTTATTCTCACAACATAGCAGAAGCAGTTTTTTTTTTTCAAAGCACACCAATACCAAACCAGCTCGTAGTAATAGGCCGTTAAGTTGGGACAATATCGGTGATTTTGATGGTAGACATGAATGAACCTATAAATTTGAGTACTACTAAGCTCATCCCTTTATCTTATTTTCCTACCCACATCAAATTAAATATTTTATTGATATATTTTCCCTCTTGCAAAATGACTTTGAAGGACCTAGACAAAGACTTCTAAGTAAGATTAAAATTAAAATGCTAAAAATAAAAATCTTAACATGGTCACTACCACAAACCAACTTTGACTTGCCAACCCATCATGCCCAACCCCCTTTTTCACTCTCTTCCGCAATAGTGTGCCATATAGATTCGAATTTGGTGACTAAAAATATGTACAGTGTAAGACAAGAAGGATAGAGGTAGACATTTTGGGAGTTGTGGTTCTGTAAAATTTCGGATTGGAGTGGGTTCTGGGTGTTGGTGGGCACACTTATACTGTTGCGCAGTGATCGTGCAGGTGGATTTTTAATTTTTTTTGGGGGGATGGGCGGCTGTGATTTCTTTGGGGGATGGTTGTTGCTGAGAATGAGTTCTAGATTAATGGGAGGAGGGATCTTGCATGAACTTATAAGAGGTTAAGTTACTCTTTATATTGTCAATTAATTTTATTGTAGAATTCCAACTTTCTTTAGTTGAGTTGCTGGTTAGACATTGTTTTTACCTTCAAGTTATTTAGGTGGGTGGTAGAAAATTGAGTATTTATCAAATATAGCAAAAAATTAACCCTTAATTTAAAAAATGTCACTTTTTATAAAATCTTTCAAATATATCCAAAATTTCACCCAAATAGACACAAATACCATCAAATTTAACAACCAAATAAATTAAAGACTTTTTAGCCAAAATGATTCGTGACATTGACATAACTCCTTAATGTCGTCCTTAATAATTAATGATAATCAATATTAGTGTTCTTGAATTTGTTCATCGTAAATCATTTTAGTCTTTATTTGAATTTTTCCATCGTGATCATTTTAGTTTTTTCATGAAATATTTGTCAATTACTCTGTTAGTGTGATGATGTGGCATCACGTGGGTTTCACAAATACAATCATATAACGACATGTGGATTAACTTAAAAACTATTTTTATATTTAAAACTAAAAATGATATTAGTATGAAAAAGGCGTTGAAGGCATGATTGAAATTCTGCTACTTCCACTTGTTGTAATCATGGCAACGCTCAATGTCAGTGATGAGGGGGTTGAAGGGGATAAGGTTGTGGTGGTGAAGTGTAGAAGCGAAGGAGAGTTAGATCGGAGCTTGAGGCGATGGTAGCTGAAAAGCCTTTAATTTATTTAATTTTTAAATTTAAAGGTATTTGTGTCTATTTAGGTGAAATTTTGGATATATTAGAAAGTTTTTATAAAAAGTGACATTTTTGAAATTAAGAGTTAATTTTTTGCTACATTTGATAAATAACTCTAGAAATGTGCAAAAAAGAAATTCAAAATATTATGGTTACTTTAGGAATAATGGTGGGGGGGGGGGGGGTGTGAAAATAGTATTTCATTGTTTTTACTTTTAATGGCGGGTGGCAAAATAAGTGGGGTGGGGGAGATAAGAAAGGAAGGTGGGCATAGTAGCACTCATAAAGTTTATCAATATTTTTTTTTTCCAAAAATAGAATTTAAGTTTCTACGCTTAAAAAAAAAACCAATATTAATTATATAATTTTTGTCATAGATATGCCTTTGAGAATCTTTTGGACAATCGAATGCCAATTTTGTATTTTTTTTTTTTTTTTTAAGCTTTACATTCTTTATAGCTCTTAAAAAGAATATTTTTTTGTTGAACTAAGAGAGTGAGTTAAGCCTTATACTTGGCTGGCTAGCCATAATAATGTGGTTCAAATTCGTCTTTGGTGAAAATCAAACCTAAAACCTCTCACTTACAAATAAAAAGGAACACCACTAGGCTTAGTACTCAGTGGCAGGACTGCTTTTAAACTAGCATAAAATATAGGGACATATAGTATTGAAGGGGGTTTCTACGGTACCTTATTTGATACAGGAAACAAAGAACCAAGGAGTCCTCGGGAGACGAGGGATGATAACCTAGGAATTGCTCAACCAGGGAGGGACAGATTCCCTCATGTCTTTACAGAGATAGAACTGAGAATCACTCAACTAGGGGTAACGGAAGCACTCACGTTGCTAATTGTGGATTCACTCGACACGACCAAGCCTAACACTGAAGGAGAAAATCACTCTCTTCTTAGATTAACTTTAATTCACTAACTCTCTTTCTTAAAGATACATTTGGAGACTTTAAATAGGAGATTACAAAGCATTGGTAGAGTAAATATTCAATAGTAGGATAGTTACTAGGCAACTCAATTAAAAGAGAATGGGACAAAGTTTTTGTGAGATGAAAAGTCACTAAAGCATTAAATATATTAGTTCCCCATGCACTGCATCATTATAAAAAATATAAAGTATCAATACCATTTAAGATACACTACGATGGTTTAAATTACAATTCAAAATTATATTGTTATGATAAAATTCAAGTTAATAACCAAAAAAATAACGTGATTATTACTATGACATGGTAGTTACATTGTAGACGTTCTATTACGTTTCAATATAGGTTTTGGTACTTCAACATGATTGAATTATGAAATTAAAGTTTATTATAATATGTAGCAATGACGTAAGGATTTTTTTAGTAGGGAACATTATGACCTTCCACAATGTTACAACATGATGTCAACATACAAGAACTAAGGTAAGGTTACACCATAGTTGTCCAAATTTACACAATTAAACTAAATGACGCTGGTATTACTTTACCTAAGTTGCCTTTCATGGTGTAAATACTAGAATATTACACTATAAGGTAGTATATTATAGTTGGACGTTAACTTATTGCATTACAGTTTAACATTCAAATTAAATAATACCGATAAATTACATAATTATTTATGCATTATCTATGCCATTAATATAGCAATTAAGCTATATTGTTTTCCAACAAAAAAAAAGTAGATAATGTTTTTCTCTTCAAAATAAAGAAATATATTTTAGGGGCCGGGCACCATTCTCCTACTGGGACGAGTAGAAGAAAACTAGGCAAATATGATGAAGCACTTAGAGTCAAATGAGGAACTTTCGTTGAAAGACTTCGATTCATTAGCAAAAGGATATAAAGAGGTCTGAGTTTCAGCATTTTAGCAATCACAGACTACGTTACAAATTATATCCTTGTGTGGTTACAAAATTAGATATGTTATCATGATAAATTTGCACAAGACTTAAGTCTACGGTTTTAGGAATTTACATCATCCTGCCGTTAAGTGGGCAGAAGACTCTGTACACTGTCCAATATATTTTAAGGGCCGGGCACCATTCTCCATCTGTTGCATGTAACCCTTATTTTCTTTTATCAAAAGCTTGTGCTCTTCTGCATCAGCTACAGCTGCTTCTTCAGCTTCGGCTATGGCCACTTCTGCCTCTGAAATTGCTCGAGCAGCAGCTGCAGTAGCCTCTTGTGGGATCACGGCTTTCATTTTTGTTGGTTCTTAACTAAACAAACTAGGCTTTCATAACCCTTTGCCTTCCCTGTGTCCAAAAACAAAAACGCAAACTAGGATTAAGATTGAACTCTCATTCAGGCTCTTATGCTGAACATAACCTACCGAAGTTCTGGCAAACACCTTCAATTGCTGGTGTTAATAGTAAAAGAAAAATAAGGATAACTAGTACTCTTGTTAGAGGGTGTAATGCTTTTTTTTGGCATACATACCTTTGGTAAATCATCAAATTCGATATTGATTTTTGAGAACCTTGATCAGGTCTGCATGAGCATCGTCTTCATCTTCATTCTGGGACCCTACAGCTATTTGCCACATACGTAACATATCTCTAATGGAAGCTAACCCTTGAAAAACAATGTAAGATACTAATACAGCCTCACTTTTGGGTCAATTTATAGTTATGGTGGAGGTACTGGTTTTCAAAACAATGGACTCCATTCTTCGTGTATTTGGTTTTTGATTTCTAACAGGATCCTGTGTGTATGGGTTTTTTCTATTTGGTTGGTCACTGTTTGGTTTCCTTATGCTGATGGATACAATGAACAACGAGAAATGGGGACAAATTAAGGAAAAATATCCAGCTGTTTTTGGTAGCAATATCTAGCAGTTGATTTGGCCTTTAAGAATAAAGTTTAACAACTAAGGACAGAAGTTGAAAATAAGAAAAGGCATAATTAGGATACCGCTCCAATGATGATGTATCAAGAAAAATAAGTGTTAGGTTGACGAACTCAAAAAAATTGAAAATCTATCGCTAAGTTTTAATCGGTTTTGAAATCCATCAAGCTATGCTATTCAATTCCAAGGCCTAAAGCTAATAACAAGCTCATGTCATCCAAATGTTCAAATCAGTGTGATGAGTTGACTTAAAGAGACAAGACTTCATTCATTTTAAGGAGTTCTTAGATTACCTGAAAATACATGGACAATAATTCCTTGAATATTTTGACAGTGATTATTTTTGGTAAACAATCTAATGTTTTCTTAGAAGTATTCATATATCAATCAGGAAGACCTTTTGTGATAAAACTCAACAACTAGTAATATATATATATATATATATATATATATAGGAGTTTCTACCCTTAATATTACTAAGACCTTTTGTGATAAAACTCAACAAATAGTACTGGTTTGGTACTGAGGTAATTTTATAAAAAGTGAGTATAAAAAAAAGCTGAGCTAAAAAATATGTTTGGTAAACACTTAAAAAAAAGCTTATTTTCACAATTTTGGGTGAAAAAAAAAGATGAAAACGTGAAGCAGCAAAAATGAGTTTATTCTCACAACACAGTAGAAGCAGTTTATTTTCAAAGCATAGCAATACCAAATCAGCCTGTAGTAATAGGCCGTTAAGTTGGGACAATATCGGTGATTTTGATGATAGATATGAATGAACCTATAAAGTTGAGTACTACTAAGCTCATCCCTTTATCTTATTTTCCTACCTACATCAAATTAAATATTTTATTGATATATTTGCCCAAAATGACTTTGAAGGACCTAGACAAAGACTTCTAAGTAAGATTAAAATTAAAATGCTAAAAATAAAAACCTTAACATGGTCACTACCACAAACCAACTTTGACTGCCAATCCATCATGCCCAACCCCCTTTTTCTTTCTCTTCCGCAATACGTGCCATATAGATTCGAATTTGGTGACTAAAAATATGTACAGAGTAAGACAAGAAGGATAGAGGTAGACATTTTGGGAGTTGTGGTTCTGGAAAATTTCGGATTGGAGTGGGTTCTGGGTGTTGGTGGGCACACTTATACTGTTGCGCGGTGGTCGTGCAGGTGGATTTTTAATTTTTTTGGGGGGATGGGCGGCTGTGATTTCTTTAGGGGGGATGGTTGTTGTTGAGAATGAGTTCTACATTGATGGGAGGAGGGATTTTGCATGGACTTATAAGAGGTTAAGTTACTCTTCATATTGACAATTGATTTTATTGTAGAACTCCAACTTTCTTTAGTTGTGCTGCTGGTTAGACATTGTTTTTACTTTCAAGTTATTTAGGTGGGTGGCAGAAAATTGAGTATTTATCAAATATAGCAAAAAATTAACCCTTAATTTCAAAAATGTCACTTTCTATAAAATCTTTCAAATATATCTAAAATTTCACCCAAATAGACACAAATACCATCAAATTTAACAACCAAATAAATTAAAGACTTTTTAGCCAAAATGATTCGTAACATTGACATAATTTCTTAATATGGTCCTTAATAATTAATGATAATCAATATTAGTGTTCTTGAATTTGTTTATCGTAAATCATTTTAGTCTTTATTTGAATTTGTCCATGGTGATCATTTTAGTTTTTTCGTGAAAAAATTGTCAATTACTCTGTTAGTGTGATGATGTGGCACCACGTGGGTTTCACAAATACAATCATATACCGACATGTGGATTATCTTTAAAAACTATTTTTATATTTAAAACTAAAAATGATATTTGTATGAAAAAGGTGTTGAAGGCATGGTCAAATTCTGCTACTCCCACCCGTTGTAATCGTGGCAACACTCAATGTCGGTGATGAGGGGGTCAAAGGGGGATAAGGTTGTGGTGGTGAAGTGTAGAAGCGAAGGAGAGTTGGATTGGAGCTTGAGGCGATGGTAGCTAAAAAGCCTTTAATTTATTTAATTTTTAAATTTAAAGGTATTTGTGTCTATTTAAGTGAAATTTTGGATATATTAGAAAGTTTTTATAAAAAGTGACATTTTTGAAATTAAGGGTTAATTTTTTTGCTACATTTGATAAATAACTCCAGAAAATGTGCAAAAAAGAAATTCAAAAGATTAAGGTTACTTAAGGAATAATTGTGGGGGGGGGGGGGTGGTGTGAAAATAGTATTTCATTGTTTTTACTTTTAATGGCGGGTGGTGGGGAGATAAGAAAGGAAGGTGGGCATAGTAGCACTCATAAAGTTTATCAATAATTTTTTTTCCCTAAAAATAGAATTTAAGTTTCTACGCTGAAAACAAACAACAATATTAATTATATAATTGGCAAAATTAGTGGGATGGGGAGATAAGAAAGGAAGGTGGGCATAGTAGCACTCATAAAGTTTATCATGTTGTAAAATCGACGGTGTGTGTGCAGTGGAATAAATAAAATAAGACACAAAATTTACGAGGTTCCTCTACAGTCAGTGTGACTGGAGTACGTCCTCGGGCAGCAGTGATGCTTTCATTATAATTTGGAATAATAGGAGTACAAAGATAACTCTATGTATTCTCTCCTCTACTCTTCCTCTCTTTCTTTTTTTTCTGCTCTCTATATTCAAAGCATACAGAGTGCTCTATTTATAGAGCAACTCCAATCACACATCTTTGACAATATAACTTCCTTTATCTCCCAAGTCAAGATTAACTGCACGGGCATTGAAAATCCACCCAAAGTCTGCAGTTTCAATGTGGGCATTCAATACCCACTAGACTTTTCAACACTCCCCCTTGGATGCCCACATATCAACATGAGTTGCCTCGTTAAGATCTTGATCTATTTTTGGATGCTCCCCCTTGATGAGTATCTCCCCCAGATTTCAAATTATTTAGGCTGATCATTGATCCTGCTGCTTTAGTCTTTTAGCGGTGATAGTTGCCGAATGAGGTGTTTCACTTGTTGTTAACTTTCCACAGACTTATTCTTGAACTGGGTTGGAGGGCCTTTCTGCTAAACTTCCTCCAAAGGTCTGAATTTACCTATTTTATCTGGAGCTGAATTTGATTCAAGGATGGTGGACACTTGATCTTGAATCGGACTTGTGATTTCTTCAAAGGCCGTCTAGACTTGATCTTGAATGAAATTGGATCATGAGGAGCTTCATGTGACAAGTGATCTTAGGCTTTGTCGGGGATGAACTGACATGTGTTTGTTGTGGTTGTCTCCACATGCTTCAATGTATCATTTTCACTTGCCTTACTTGCTCCCCTTGCAGAAGTGGTATTTTCCTTATGCAGGTTTGACATCTTCTCTTGTAGTATTTGTCCTCTGATACAGGAGTGGAATGCAAACCTTGCATTTGAATGGACCATCACTTCTTGGTGGCAGCGAAAGTTTGAGTGGAGGTTCCGACATATTGCTTTCTCTGTCCTTGTCTTGGCAGGTAAGAACAAGGACAAAGGAAAGGACAGGGAGATTGCATGATATGAGATACTCTTGCTCTGGTGTGACTTGTTTGTAGAGATATTCTCAGAGAGGAAGAAAACTGAGTATTTCGAGATACTTTGTGAAAGATGCATTCTCGGAGATGAGGAAGAGTTAGATATTTTTCAGTTCTGCCTTGCCGTGGAGGACAAAGGTTGACATATATATTGATTTTCCAATAGCAGGTAGTAAAGTTGTGCCTTTACTCTTGTCAGCAACTGTGGTGTAATTAGAACAGTAAGATTCACGCGTTTTCAACTTTATCAGAAATCTTTGACAAAGTTGCACGTGATATCCAAGAGCTGAGATTGCGTCTGAGAAATGTTGACAGACGTCATGCAGGGAAATCCAGCTTTTGAGATTCGAAAATCGGTGTCTCTTCGATTTTTGAATAAGTGGTCCTGTTGCCCCTCCTTTTATAGAGATATCAATTTTGTTCAGAAACACTCAGAAAATTGTTGCCTGCAGAAATTTCCCTTTCTTGCACTTCTGAGATTTTATCTGACTTCCTTCATCATTTCTGAAAATGGCTTGCCCATCTAACATTTGCTTAGATTTGAGTCTCAGGATTGATACAGACGAGCAGCGTCAGGATAACATATGGCGCCCGTCCTTCTCAACTTCTAATGGTCCTCTTACGGTTGGGGACTTTGTGATGAAGAATAACATAACTGCTACAGTGGTAGCCAGGAATCTTCTCACTCCAAAGGACAACAGAATCCTTTCAAACCGGTCTGATGAGGCGGCCGTTCAAGACTCATTGGCTCTCAGTGTTTAATGTGCGGGCTCTGTATCCAATATGGGTCAGCGTCTACTTGCTCGAACTCACCAAGTTGAATCATTAATGGCTGAGGTGGCAAGTCTTAGACAAGAGATTAGAGGGCTCAAGCATGAGAATAGAGTGTTACACATGCTTGCAAATAATTACTCTACGAGCATGAAAAGAAAGCTCGACCAGCTACTAGAATCCGAAGGTCGGACTCAAAATGACAATCGGGGGTTCGAGTCTTTATTCCAAAGACATCCATTGTCTTAGCTGTCTGGAGTTCCACCAAGTATTGAGACTCCAAATAATCAACTTCTGGTGTCTTCCCCTTCTGGGGTACTTCCGAGTACTGAGGCTTCACATGAGTAACCTTTGTGAAGGTTTCTTTCTGTTTGTTTGTTTTAACTCATGTGTATGTAATTTCTCGGAGATATTAATATATAAGCTTTATTTCATTTAGTGTATTGTGTTAAATACAATAAAGCATATATTTCACTAAGATGTGGTACTTATGGACCAAATAGCAATTTATCTTTACCCTCGCGAAGATAAATGATCATTCTTAGTGTCTAAATCATTTGAGTATTCAACTCATAATCTTCAACCCATACGATTCTTTAATGTCATAAACATCGTGGATAAGATTCGTGTTGACATATTGTTCGATTCTGCAGTTCGAGACAATATTTCTCTCAACACTTTATAATCTTTCTTGACTCTTCAGGAGTCCCAATTTAATATTATCAACTCTTGCAAGAGATTTTAGTATGTTGCAACAATACCATAATGAAAGTGCTTATTAAGGCAATTTATACCATCCATTGGTATTGAGTACATATTTTATGCTTTATCTTTCCGGGGCTTAAGCAATTTAAATTCTTCAGGGATTTTCTACACTTCATGACACATTTTCCTTTAGAATTTATATAGAGCAATTCGCTTCCATGTATATTTGAGGGATTTACTCATGGAAATATGATGTGGGCGACTTATAACCCTTCGTATATAATTCTCCATTCATATGAACTTTTTTACAACCTTGTGTCATATCATGTGAATGTATTTCATGGTATTACAAATGCCCATATGTAACCTTCTAGGTTCAACATCTTTTGGCTATTTGTATTGTATCCAAGTATATAGGTCTATTTTTCCACGTTCTTACAAAATTGTAATGGAATTGCCTTTCTCCATTTTGGCCCATAATTTTGTTGATGGAAAAAGAACGGGACTCAATATCACCACAGCTCATTGATGAATTTAGTAGCTACTTGTAAAAACCAAAATTATCATTGGTTATCATCAATTTGTGATCCCATATTCTCATGTACATGCGCATGCATAAAAGCTTTTCATTTCTTTTGGGATATCCATTGCCTCTTCAAGGGCATTACACTATCTCTTCCAGGATAGTTATAATTTAGAGAATGCGGATCATAACCTCCTCTTGAGCGTTATAGAGCTTGGATTTTAATCTCCACTTCCGGGAGTTAAGTCATTGGAACCTATATATCTATCATGCTTCATGCATGAGACATCAATATTCCCATGTCCGCGGAGTGACCTTTTCGGGACAAGTATCCTTGCAACAACTGTTATGCGTCTGGCATGTGACAGTTATGCAATAGTTCAGTAGTGCCATATTCTTCTTCTTTCGAAGGACTGAACCTTTTGAGTCTGAGGATCTGCCACGCTTCAGGCGTGTAACAGATAAATCATTTGCTGCCATATTATTTTGTCCAACAGAGACATTAATTCTTGTGGGCACATTTGCAGCAAGCATATGTGATTTTATCACTTTCGTTGCATCATTAAATGCATCTGGCATTTGATTTGCATATCGTTGCATCATTCAATTATTCTCACTTTGCTTGTATATTGATTGCTTCATGAATCAAAATACGACAAATTCTCTTCATTCTTCTGGAACGGTTTTTTCTCATCATTCTTCTGGAATGAAGTTATTTTCTCCCCCTAACGGCGGGAAAATTGTCTTATTAAAATGACAGTCCGCAAACCACGCGGTAAATATATCCCCAGTCAAGGGTTTTAAATATTGAATGATAGATGATGTTTAACATCAATGCCTAATCCGCAATGATGCTTCATTTCAGTATGTTGTGGAAGTGCAATAGGCACATAGATAACACAACCAAAAACTCGTAAATGTACAATTTTTGGCTGGTTTCCAAACACGAGTTGTACTGAGAAGTATTGATGGTTGTCAACAAGTCTCAACCAAATCAATAATGCATCATGTAAAATGACATGTACCCATGTAAAAACGGGCAATTTTATTTTCGTGAGCAGAGCGCGGGTAATCTATTTCATCCGCTTAATAAATGCTTCTGCTAAACCATTTTTGAGTATGGACATAAGGAACTTCTGGTCCTTATTTAATAGTCTTACAGACCGAGACTCTTATGGCTTTTATTGCAATTAAGTTGAGGCACTGCGGCACTTCAAACTTAAGGTAATTATCAAAGAACTTCATGTCCTGATCTTTTTGTTTGATGAAACTTCAGGTCCAATCATTTTTATATGATGAGGATCAAGAAACTGCAGGTTCTGATCTGATCAAGGAACTTCGGGTCCAGTATGTACTCATAGTAATAAAAAGAAGTACAATAAATAAATTAAAGCAATAGACAGTAATTCCAGCAATAATGAATAAATTGCATTTAAGTAAATAAAGCTTGTGACAAGGGCTTTAATTCAGCACCATTCACATAAATCAAAACTTAAAGCAGTAGGCGGTAAAACCGTCCATGATAAATAAATTGCTTTAAAGTAAATAGAACTTGTGAAAGGGTTTTAAACCAACACCAATTCACATAAATAACAAGAAGTATCATACCTCCTTTTATTTATTATTTTTCTTTCTTTTTTGTCAGTACTTATTCAAACTTTACTTTTCTTATTTCTGTAGCATGGTGCCATGCACCAACAGAAACCATTTATATCATTTTGACTAAATGGTGTCATGCACTATTCAAATCATTATATATATATATATATATATATATATATATATATATTTTTCTTATGTTGCAGTCAACATCCCTTTTTTTTTCTTCTTCACATGTGCCTTGTCATTCTATCAATCCCCATTTTCTATCATTCCTTCTCTGTCTCTGCCAGTCTCGAAACGCAGGGCCAGCTGGGTAGTTATGGAGGTTGCCCAAATTCAATTCAATCCAAAAAAGACTATTAGAGACTGGCGTTATTCTTGCATGACCCAGGGAACATGTCATTGTTAAGCAAGAACCTCCTTACAGAGACATAGATGACAGTGGGGTTGACGGAGGCACAAGAGAGGGAGGCATGTGTGGATTCATTCTTGCCATCACTATCTCAAACAACCAAGTATTCATGGGAGTTCTCAAGATTCGTTGAAAACAACGTGATCTGGGTTTCCAAGTCTGATGAGATTCTTCTAGATCTCTGGAAACCAGTTGTCAAGTACGAGTTTTCTCATCTCGTGACGACTTCAGGTCGTAAATTTCAATTCTCACCGGAATTCGGTGGGGCGCTTCTGGCGCAGTGGGAGAGACGAAAAATGGACATATCTTTTATTCTGTGAGATTTTAGATGATGGAGGTGAGAGGTGGATAGTGCTTCATCGGATTTATGGCGTTGTGCTTTCCACTGACATAAGAGCTTCTCGTGCTGATAACGTGTTGTAAAATCGACGGTGTGTGTGCAGTGGAATAAATAAAATAAGACACAAAATTTACGAGGTTCCTCTACAGTTAGTGTGACTGGAGTACGTCCTCGGGCAGCAGTGATGCTTTCATTATAATTTGGAATAATAGGAGTACAAAGATAACTCCATGTATTCTCTCCTCTACTCTTCCTCTCTTTCTTTTTTTTTCTGCTCTCTATATTCAAAGCATACGGAGTGCTCTATTTATAGAGCAACTCCAATCACACATTTTTGACAATATAACTTCCTTTATCTCCCAAGTCAAGATTAACTGCACGGGCATTGAAAATCCACCCAAAGTCTGCAGTTTCAATGTGGGCATTCAATACCCACTAGACTTTTCAACATATCAATAATTTTTTTTCCCTAAAAATAGAATTTAAGTTTCTACGCTGAAAACAAACAACAATATTAATTATATAATATTTGTCAAAGATATGCCTTTGAGAATCTTTTGGACAATCGAATGCCAATTTTGTTTGTTTTTTTTTTTTTTAAGCTTTACGTTCTTTATAGCTCTTAAAAAGGAATATTTTTTTGTTGAACTAAGAGAGTGAGTTAAGCCTTATACTGGGCTGCCTAGCCATAATAATGTGATTCAAATTCGTCTTTGGTGAAAATCAAACCTAAAACCTCTTACTTACAAATAAAAATGAACACCACTAGGCCTAGTACTAAGTGGCAGGACTGCTTTTAAACTAGCATAAAATATAGGGACATATAATATTGAAGGGGGTTTCTACGGTACCTTATTTGGTCATGAAAAAAAGAACCAAGGAGTCTCAGGAGACGAGGGATGATAACCTGGGAATTGCTCAACCAGGGAGGGACGGATTCCCTCATGTCTTTATGGAGATAGAACTGAGAATCACTCAACCAGGGGTAACGGAAACACTCACGTTGCTAATTGTGGATTCACGCGACACAACCAAGCCTAACACTGAAGGAGAAAATCACTCTCTTCTTAGATTAACTTTAATTCACTAACTCTCTTTCTTAAAGATACATTTGGAGACTTTAAATAGGGAGATTACAAAGCATTAGTAGAGTAAATATTTAGAGTCAAATGAGGAACTTTCATTGAAAGACTTCGATTCACTAGCAAAAGGATATAAAGAGGATTCTTCTGAGTTTCAGCATTTTAGCAATCACAGACTACGTTACAAATTATATCCTTGTGTGGTTACAAAATTAGAAATGTTATCATGATAAATTTGCACAAGACTTAAGTCTACGGTTTTAGGAATTTACATCATCCTGCCGTTAAGTGGGCAAAAGACTCTGTACACTGTCCAATATATTTTAGGGGCCGGGCACCATTCTCCATCTGTTGCATGTAACCCTTATTTTCTTTTATCAAAAGCTTGTGCTCTTCTGCATCAGCTGCAGCTGCTTCTTCAGCTTCGGCTATGGCCACTTCTGCCTGTGAAATTGCTCGAGCAGCAGCTGCAGTAGCCTCTTGTGGGATCACGGCTTTCATTTTTGTTGGTTCTTAGCTAAACAAACTAGGCTTTCAAAACCCTCTGCCTTCCCTGTGTCCGAAAACAAAAACGCAAACTAGGATTAAGATTGAACTCTCATTCAGGCTCTTATGCTGAACATAACCTACCGAAGTTCTGGCAACCACCTTCAATTCCTGGTGTTAATAGTAAAAGAAAAATAAGGATAACTAGTACTCTTGTTAGAGGGTGTAATGGTTTTTTTTGGCATACATACCTTTGGTAAACCATCAAATTCGATATTGATTTTTGAGAACCTTGATCAGGTCTGCATGAGCATCGTCTTCATCTTCATTCTGGGACCCTACAGCTATTTGCCACATACGTAACATATCTCTAATGGAAGCTAACCCTTGAAAAACAATGTAAGATAATAATACAGCCTCACTTTTGGGTCAATTTATAGTTATGGTGGAGGTACTGGTTTTCAAAACAATGGACTCCATTCTTCGTGTATTTGGTTTTTGATTTCTAACAGGATCCTGTGTGTATGGGTTTTTTCTATTTGGTTGGTCACTGTTTGGTTTCCTTATGCTGATGGATACAATGAACAACGAGAAATGGGGACAAATTAAGGAAAAATATCCAGCTGTTTTTGGTAGCAATATCTAGCAGTTGATTTGGCCTTTAAGAATAAAGTTTAACAACTAAGGACAGAAGTTGAAAATAAGAAAAGGCATAATTAGGATACCGCTCAAATGATGATGTATCAAGAAAAAAATGTGTTAGGTTGACGAACTCAAAAAAATTGAAAGTATATCGCTAAGTTTTAATCGGTTTTGAAATCCATCAAGCTATGCTATTCAATTCCAAGGCCTAAAGCTAATAACAAGCTCATGTCATCCAAATGTTCAAATCAGTGTGATGAGCTGACTTAAAGAGACAAGACTTCATTCATTTTAAGGAGTTCGTAGATTACCTGAAAATACACGGACAATAATTCCTTGAATATTTTGACAGTGATTATTTTTGGTAAACAATCTAATGTTTTCTTAGAAGTATTCATATATCAATCAGGAAGATGCTGATAAAGAAGGAGAGGTATCTGTATCTGCATTCTGTGAAGCTACTCGTCTAAACTTAGCCAATCTTTTTCTTCAAAATGTGGCTTGGATAACATCATTATGCACCGTATCATGACTTCAAAGATAAAATCTTTCATTCATCTTTCATCATGTGCCACGACCAGTATGATAGCGATGTTGATTACCTATTTGAAGCAAAATTAGTAGTTATTTTGATCCAAAAGTTCAGAACTTGTATGTTTATGATTATGATAGTTTAATCTAACAGACTTGCCAAATAGTGAAGTGGCTCTATGATATGACAAGCCAAGAAATAGAAATTTGCGATCTTATGTATATGTTAGATGCAAATCATAGGTTTAACTTTAACTTTTAACTTGATGCTACATATGGAACTAGTCGTGAAGGAGCAGTTTGATGTGAAAAAGGAGATGCTGTGCATGCACTACTATATATTTATTATCAGGAATCTACAGAACAGGATGAATACCATCGTCACCCTTATATCTGTGTTCATAGTCAAAAATATATTACATTTTGAGAGAGAGAGAGAGAGAGAGAGAGAGAGAGAGCGAAACCGAAGACTCACCACAACACTCATTGAAGGCCTATCCTCTTGCTTATACTGGACACACCACATAGCTACATTTACCATTCTCTCTGCCTTCTCTTTATCTTTCTCCTCTATTCCACAAACTACCATCAGCTCTCCTAATTCTCCGGGTTCAAACTTCTTCCATACCCACCTCGGGAACCAGTCTCGGCTATCTTCGACTTTGATATCAAGATTCCTTCTCCTGCCTATAATCTCAAACAATAGCATTCCAAAGCTGTACACATCACATTTGTGTGTTATTGGGAACTGCTGCCAAACTTCTGGGGCAGCATAACCCGGAGTCCCCCTCCCTCCTGTCATGGTTATATGAGTGTTGTCCCTATTACACAGCTTGGCCAAACCGAAATCAGCTACTTTTGGAAAGAACTTTGCATCCAAAAGAATATTTTCAGGCTTTATGTCGTAATGGACAATCCGTTGTTGGCATTCTTCATGCAAGTAAGCGATCCCTCTTGCTGTCCCCACAGCAATCTCATGAAGTTGTTCAAATCCTAAGACCACTGTGTCGCTATGAAATAAGTACTTGTCAAGCGATCCATTTCCCATGTACTCGTAAACAAGTGCTCTGAGGTGTTCCTCAAAGCAGAAACCATAAAGACGGACCAGATTGATGTGATGTATTCTTCCGATTGTACCAACTTCCGCCATAAATTGTTCCTTGATTCTCTTATCCGAACTTCCATGTAGAACCTTCACTGCCACTGGGGTTCCATTGCTAAATATTCCTTTATAAACTGCACCAAAACCTCCTTGGCCTAACAAATTGGTGAAGTTATCAGTCGCAATCCGAAGTTGTTGAGAAGTGAACCTAACGGGCTTTTCTCTTTCCATATCATTTATAAAGTTGTCCATTGTGAGTGCCCGAAAGTCTGGAGTAACGATCTTCTCCGTTGTGAGCGTCCGACAGTCCGGGGAAACGATCTGCACTAACCTCACTTTCTGACTTGTCTCTCTTGCGAGTTTCTGACATTTCTTGCACACTACAACCGCGATAACAATCTTCACTAAGACCACTACTGCAAAATTCAGAACTCATTAGTGACAAAAGAATTATAAACAAAAGTAGTGGATGCAGAAAGGAAAAAGGCAACGGGTAGAGACATAGATCTTTACCCAAGACTACAACAATAGCTACTCCCGCTCCATCATTTGATGATGAGTCTGGTAACTCCTGTAGAATTTAGATGTATATTTGCTTGATTGAACAATTACAAGATGAAACATATATATAGGAAAGAAAAAGAACATAAACCTAATTTTGCCTAACTTGCCTAACTTGCCTAACTTGACTAACCTAACTTGCCTAACTTTGAACAAGAAAATTGACTAGCCTACCATTATTCCAACATGTTTATTTCATGCATTTTTACACAAGGATTCCAACCTAACTTTGTTTGTCTAACACTCCCCCTCAAGTTGGAGAGTGGATGTCAAGAACTCCCAACTTGCGTAACATACCCGAAAACTTTTCTTTCCCAAGAGGTTTGGTAAACAAGTCTGCCAACTGTTGTGCCGTACCCACATGCTTGGTCTCTATTGTGCCATCTACAATCTTATCTCGTATAAAATGACAATCCATCTCAATGTGATGAGTTCGTTCATGAAAAACAGGATTGGCAGCTATATGTAACGCTGCTTGATTATCACAAAATAAAATGGAAGGACCATCCAAAGGAATGTTCAAATCCTTCAACAAAAAACGAAGCCAAACTATCTCGCAACAAGCACCTGCCATGGCCCTATATTCCGCCTCTGCTGAAGAGAGCGAAACGGTTTTCTGTCGTTTCGTCCGCCAAGAAATCAAAGAACCGCCCAAGAATACACAATACCCAGTAGTCGAACGGCGAGTGATAGGGCAACCTGCCCAATCAGAATCACAAAACGCAGTTAACTTGGTCTGGTTGTCAGAACAAAATAATAAACCTTGACCTGGAGTAGCCTTCAAATAACGAACAATACGAAGCGCAGCATCCATATGAGATATCCTTGGCTCGTGCATAAAACGGCTTAGAACATGCACAGAATAAGTGATATCCGGCCGAGTGATAGTGAGATATATTAACCGACCTACTAATCGTCGATACTTTTCAGGATCCTTGAGAAGTTCTCCTTTATCAGATAATTTTGTGTCATCCATAGGAAAAGCAATGGGTCGTGCTCCCAAAAAACCATAGTCCTTGAGAATCTCTAATGCATACTTGCGTTGAGAAATATAAATCCCTTGTTTGGAACGAGAAACCTCAATACCCAAAAAATATTTTAAATCACCAAGGTCTTTTATCCGAAAATGATCACGGAGAAAAGACTTCAGAGAATTAATGGCACTAGCATCATTGCCTGTAATCACAATATCATCCACATAAATGAGCAAAGCTGTGAAAGAAATACCAGACTTTTTAGTGAACAATGAATAGTCAGCTTTGGATTGTTGAAAACCGGCAGAAATGATGGCACTAGTGAATTTGGCAAACCATTGGCGAGAAGCCTGCTTAAGACCATAAAGTGACTTGTGAAGGCGACACACAAGATTCTCCCCCTGTCGCCGAAGACCAGGAGGAGGAGACATATAGATTTCTTCATGTAAGTCACCATGTAAGAAAGCATTATTAACATCAAGCTGATGAAGAGACCAAGACTGACTAGCAGCAAGAGCAAGAAGACAACGCACCGTAATCATCTTAGCAGTAGGAGAAAAAGTGTCATGATAATCAATACCTTCAGCCTGAGTGAAGCCTTTAGCAACCAAACGAGCTTTGTAGCGGTCAATAGAGCCGTCGGATTTGTGCTTGAGTTTGTACACCCACTTACAACCAATGGGAATTTTGCCAGGGGGCAAGGAAGTTAAAGTCCAAGTACCATTAGCATGTAAAGCTTGAAGCTCCTCAGTCATAGCACGTTGCCAATTGGGGTCAGTGGCAGCCTCGGCAAAGGAGGAAGGCTCCACAGTCCGACTGACAGAGTTAATGTAAGAAAAATGTCTGGGAGAGTAACGGTGATAAGAGAGAAAATTACAAAGTGGATATCGCGTACCTTGTATAGAACCGGGTTGCGAAGTCGAAGATGGGTGGGATGGCAGAATCACCTGCGAGCAAACGTAGTCTTTTAAATAGGATGGAGGTTTATGGGCACGGGAAGAGGTGCGGGGAAGGGGAGGATTGGTAGGTAGTGGGGGGGTAGGGATGTCCGTGGGTAAAAGGGTGAAAGGTAAGGAAGTATCGGGGGGGGAAGGAGGGGATGCCGAGAGGGCAGGGGCATGGGGAGGAACGGGTAATGGGGCAGCAAGGGAATCTATGGGAGGCGTGGAAGGGGAGGAAGGTGGAGGAGGGTGAGGCGTCGGGGCAGGAAGGGGTGGGTTATATGTAAAGTCCAGAGGGGGTGGGATGGGTAGGGTAGGCGAAGAGGATGGGATAGGAGGGTGAGAAACGGCATAAGGGAAAGTACTTTCGTGAAAGATGACGTCTCGACTAGTGAAAATGCGGTGATTGTCGAGATCGTAAAGGGTATAGGCCTTTTGTCCATGAGGATAACCGAGAAAAATGCAACGATGAGCCCGAGGGGAAAATTTAGTGGTGGGAGTGACAGAGGTGGCATATGCCAGACAACCAAAGACGCGGAAGTGGTCATAAGATGGGGTTTTCGAAAAGAGAACCTCAAATGGGGATTTATGATGGAGAAGACGGGTAGGGAGACGATTGATGAGATAAGTAGCGGTAAGAACACATTCCCCCCAAAACTTGATAGGAAGATGGGATTGAAAACGAAGGGCGCGAGCGGTTTCAAGAAGATGACGATGTTTTCTTTCAACAACGCCATTTTGTTGGGGGGTATAAACACAAGAAGTTTGTAAAAGCACCCCATGATCAGAGAAAAAACTACGAAGAGATAAAAATTCACCACCATTGTCAGTACGAATGCATTGGATGGTAGTGCGGAATTGGGTAGTGACATAAGCAAAAAAATCCTTAATTAATTGTTGAGTGTCGGATTTATGTTTCATGAGGAAGACCCACGTAAAGCGAGAAAAATCATCCACAATGGATAAGAAATAATTAGCACCAGAAAGAGAAGATTGACGATTCGGGCCCCAAATATCACAATGAATTAAAGCAAAAGGGAAAGTTGATGAAATTGAACTCAAAGGAAAAGGTTGACGAGTTTGTTTTGCCAACGGACAAACATCACAAATATGACTAGAATCAAAAGTGCAATTAAGAGAGCTAGATGCTAAAGCTTGCAAACGAGTGGATGAGGGGTGACCTAGACGCCTATGCCAGAGGGAGGAGGGGATGGTAATGATGTTGCAGAGAGGTTGACGGGTGGGGAGAGAAGAGGTAAGGGCCACAAGGTAATACAGATCGCCACGTCGCTTACCCACACCAATCATCGCCTTCGAAACCAAGTCCTGCAAAACACACCAAGAAGGAAAGAAGGTTATGGAACACGATAATCCATCTGTAAGTTTACCAACCGATAAAAGGTCCACTCGGAAATTAGGGACACATAAAACATCCTTCAAAGTAACTGAGGAATTTAAAGGAAGAGTGCCGGTAAAAGTAATGGGAGCGGAAGCACCACTAGGCAAAGAAACAGGCGGCAAATGTGAAGGAGAACGATTAACCAAACATGAAGCGGAAGAAGTAATATGATCCGTAGCACCACTGTCAAGAATCCATTGACCATGACGAGAGGTGACAGGTAACAAACCCTGGGCAAAATCAGTAGTGAGCACGGCATTGGCCTGAGGAGGGGTGGTGGTGTCACGTAGAGCAGCTAGAACACGGGAGTGCTGCTCGGCAGAGAGGTCAGGCATGGCAAGCTGCAAGTCATGTAAAGTGGGCTGGGTCCCGTGCACTTGGTGGGTTGCTGGAGTAGAAGAGGAGGCGGGGGCCTGGGTGCCTTGCACGTGATGGGCCTGGGTGAAATTATGGGGCCGGGAAGCAGAAAACCGTGGCTGCTGGGGAGGACTGGAAGGTGCATGGCTGCGGGAAGAACTGGAAGCAGTGGCACGGCGCGGTGGTCGCCACGGTTGGCCATGAAGGGGATGGCCAACGGGATAGCCATGAAGTTTATGGCAGGTGTCTCGGGTATGATAATCAAAATTGCAGTAGGTGCAGTGGAGGGGAGGACGAGCAGAGGAGGGACGGGACGGGCCACGAACAGCCATGGGAACGGCAGAGAAAGCTGCCGAAAAAAAAAAAAATTAGGGCTAGGGTTATAAACCTGCTCTGTATACCATGTAGAATTTAGATGTATATTTGCTTGATTGAACAATTACAAGATGAAACATATATATAGGAAAGAAAAAGAACATAAACCTAATTTTGCCTAACTTGCCTAACTTGCCTAACTTGACTAACCTAACTTGCCTAACTTTGAACAAGAAAATTGACTAGCCTACCATTATTCCAACATGTTTATTTCATGCATTTTTACACAAGGATTCCAACCTAGCTTTGTTTGTCTAACAACTCCGGAGTCGAGTAAGTCGACATTAATCAAAAGATAGATCGACTACAATAGAGTTATAAAATGCATTCAACAAACTCTCAAATGTAGCAGAATTTAGATTACACTGTTAGGAGTTTCATATAAGCATGCACATTTAGAAAAGGAAGGAGTTCTGGAATAATCACACAATCGAAGGAGAAGTGAGAGACAGAGAGCAGTTCTTAGTTCTTCATGGAACTCATCTACTCTCATTCAGATTCCCTTAAAGCTGACCTTAGCTTTAGGACCACACAAACACACATATATTGAGAGAAGGTTCCAAGTAAGGAATTAATAATTTCTTGAGTCTCCATTCTTCAATTCTATGAACACACTAATTAATACTATTTTAATTTTAGTAAAACCGTGTGGGGTTTCCATGAAGATGCTGACATAACAGGGCGAGAGAAAGTTCAAAGTAAAGAATTAATAATTTCTTGAGTCTCCATTCTTCAATTCTATGACCACACTAATTAATACTACTTTAATTTTAGTAAAACCGTGTGGGGTTTCCATGAAGATGCTGACATAACAAGGCGACAACGTTGTCAGCACACTGTGCTCTTGGACCGCTTCACTAGCGTGAGAGGACTTTCAACCAGACGTGTCTGGCCTTCTTCATAATCAGCTGAACC